TTTTTTCGTAGCTATAATGACTTTTAAATCGATAAATTGCTAAATGTTATCCTGTAAATCAGACGTGCATTGCCAAATTGCAATGCATCACCTTTTAAAAGACGTATTAAATAACACAAGCTGTATGTCGCACTATAATAAAATACAATCAAATAAACTTCATTGGTGGTGGGTCATTTTTATTGCAAATTCCATTTAAAAAATAAAGACACAATTGTTGATAGTTTAGAGCAATAGATCTTTGTCTGCTTAAGTCATCAGACGCACTGTCGCTCAAACTGCATTTGAAATATCCCGAATCGCGAGCTCTAGGCATTACTGGTGGGGCAGTTTTTGTTTGATTATTTTCGTGACTTGGTGACGCTGAAAATTGGGCTTATAAAAAAATACCACATCATTAGTCACTATAGAAAATGGCAATATACTGAATATCATTTAATGTGTTGGTTTTTTTTTTCATTTGGAAACGGTCACGTTTGGTACTGTTCTGTCCTACTTGAGACCATGTTAGGAATAAAATATGTCTAAGCGCGTTGAGAGAGCAGCCTTGTATCTTTTGGAACTCTTATTTTCAACTAGAGTTTTTGCGTCATTCTCTAGTTATTACTCTAGCCAATTGTTTCCTGGGTCTATAAGAAGGCCAAAAACAATATTAAAAAGGCAATGGTATCACACAAAAAGGACAGTTTGAAGTGTCAGAGTCTAAAGTGGTTTCTGTTCACTTTCACTGTCACTCATTCAGGTACTGTACCTGCTTCAGAGTTAAACTGTCGTGTGTATTACATTTGGATAAAATGCTGTCAGTACCAATGGTAGTTTCAAATTACCAGTTTTAGTTTTTTTAGACTTAATAATACATGCTGAAGGTACATGTACTGTATATATAACTTTCTTCCCAAGTGCATATGTCTTGTTGTTGTAATCTAGAAGTGATTCTGTCCCCCCTGACAAATCTTTGGAGCTCTATTTTTTTTTTCCTGTCTGGGACCATTTAACCGTGCAGTTTCCTTGATCTTGATAAGTGGAGGAAGTTTCTGTGAACTGTTATGGTTCTTGAACTTCCTTAAACCATCTGTAGAAGTTTTATAAAGGGTTTGAGAGTAAAGAAATGAAAACAACCTAGCTCAGCACAAATGTTTAATACAGTGATATTTTGTAGTGTTGGTGCAGCAGCAATGGAGCATGATTTTCAATCTATTGTATTGTAAAGACTGCCTAGATATGTTTAGTGTTTTTTTCATTTTATAAATCTAATCTACAAAGGATGGGCTCAACTTGACCGACCTCTGCATGGCTTTTCATTGCCTAGTGCAATTATATTAAATCACCCCTTTTAGGGGTAAAACAAAACCCAAACTTTTGTTGGCTTTTTCATCACCTGCCCACCCCTTTATGGAATATGACACTGTGCTTTTTCATTGTGCTTCATATTTTAAGGAATTCTTGCAATTTTTTAAATTATTATCTACAGTAAACTGTTCTAAAGGTTATATGATGCATTTTCTATTAGAGAATAGAAATGTTTGATTTATTGAATTCCTAAAGTAGATCCTAAATGTTTAGCTCTATGTGTATATTTAATGAAATGTTATAGGGAAGAAAATCCACAGGTGCACCAAAACAAAATTCAGTACAGATTAATTTCTTAAATCAAGATAACTTCACCTTTCACAATTCCAGGAAAAGAAAAGACGGGATCACTACATTATAGGTAACCTTCAATAATCGCTATTTTGAAATTAGAAGCATTAATCCAATGGAAACAAAGACAAAATGTTTTGAGATTAGCTGTAAGTGCTCTCACTGCAAATTTCCCCCTTACTAGTCAAACATCGAAGCGTAAATTCATCCTAAAAAATCAAACATTATTAAATTTTAGTAACTTATGTTACTAAACGATCATAAAACATCTTAGGTTTCTACAACTAAAGAATGTTTAGCATTTCAAAAGACTCATATCTGCAATGTATTTATTTTTCAGTAGAGAAACAATCTAGAATGGGAATCTTCAGCCAGCACATTATTTTGGCCTCATGTGTATGTTTAATCTGATTTTTAAAAAATCATCGTCAGGCTTCTATTTTAATGTCATTAAATTCTGGACGAAATTATTTTTTGTGATGCAGTGAAAAGGACTCCTGGAAGAAAGACGTGTCCTCAACATTCTGTTGACGATGGGATGTCCTGGCACTCTGTCCTTGGTGCTGATCACAGTGATGGCACTAGCACACACAGGTGTCTCCTGTCCGCACCCCTGTGCTTGCTACCTGTCCACAGAGGTGCACTGCACTTTCCGGTCTTTATTATCTGTGCCTGCTGGACTTCCTAAGCATGTGGAACGAATCAATTTAGGGTTGGTAGTTTAATTTCTCACTTTTTCTAATTGATGTTTTATCCGTATTACAGAAAGTTTTCGTTATAAAAGGGATGGGTGGCAGAGTGAACACAGTCTTGTAAATTTACAGTAATAAATCTCTTTGGTGTAGCCATGGTAAATCTGATCTTTTATTGGAAACAGCACTAGTCACCTCTAGACTCGTTGAAGAGATTTAGACTTTCTTTAAAGTTTCATTTTAGGGTATCCACATTAGCATGTCATATAGATTTGTTTTTTTTATGTAACATTTGTCCTATATTGAATTTAATCATTCAGAACTGTATACATTATGCATTTTAAAACTGTAGTACAGTGAACATTAGTGTACTTACAGCATCTATTTTAGTGTACTTAAATGCCTTATTTTATATTGTTAATAGTAAAAAATGTTTCCTTATTGAAGGTTTAACACCATTAATAAACTCACAGAAAAGTCTCTGGCTGGATTAAGGAAACTGGAACTTCTTATGATGCATGGGAATGACATCCAATCTATCCCCAATGGAGTCTTCAGAGACTTAATATCACTGCAGGCAAGATCTTCTACTGTATCTTCATCTCTGTTACATTTACTATAGTTTACAGCAGCATAATGAGTGTAAAATGATAATTTTGAAACATTATGTAGTATTACTGGTACAGAGCCATACTATATTACAGGCCAGATCAAAGTCTTTCACCCACTCCAGAATGAGAGAAGACAATGATATATTCTAAGGGCATAAATGGTGAAAAAGTTTTAAATTGATCATGTAGGCTTCAATAAACTGTGCTCACAGCTACTTAGTGATTTGGCCTATTTTCCTCAAAGTAATTTAAATGTCAATGCATGTTGAATAGTTTATCTCATGTGCAGCTAAAAAATCTAGTCTTATCAAACATATGTTGACTTTCATGATACGACTTAGGCGAGTCTCACTCACACTTTTCTTATCCATAGTTCTTGATGCACAATCATGCTCCAGCCAAAAGACTCTAGTCTAGCCAAGTCACAGGTTTACATCTGTCTCCATTTATAATATCAGTGGTCTATCCCTTTTTCTTTAGGTGCTGAAAATGAGTTACAACAAAGTAAATGTGATTCCGGGACAGGCCTTTCAGGGCCTGTCCAGTTTGCTCCGACTGCACTTAGACCACAACAGGATTGGGTTCATTCACCCGGATGCTTTCAATGGGCTGACGGCACTGCGCCTGCTCCATCTTGAGGGGAACCTCCTTCAGCAGCTCCACCCCAGCACCTTCGTGACTTTCTCATTCTTGCAGCATTTCAAAATCTCCACACTGAAGCACCTGTATTTGTCTGAAAACAGCCTCACTTCGCTGTCCAGACGGATGTTTAAAACAATGCCCCAGCTGGAAAGCCTGTATTTACATGGAAACCCGTGGACATGTGACTGCAAATTAAAATGGCTTCTGGACTGGAATAAGCAGTCTGAAGGTAAGTCATTTTTGCCAGGTTTAGCTGATTTCCTATATCTTCTGATGGTGTTATTTGAATGGTAGCAACCTCTTCCGAGTTTTAACATTTATTTTCCTTTCTTTAAATCAATGGTCATAATATGCTTTCAATTAACTTGATCTCTGATTTCTGTTCAAGTTTTTCAAAGACTCTCATTATTTGCTTATCAAAAACATCTTTTCACTCTGGCAATTATATATGAAATATATATAATATTAGCCAGCAGCCATATCACCCTGCAGCTCTCAACTGTCTACCCACTGAAGCTAAGCAGGGCTGAGTAGAGTATTATCCCGGTGTCTGGGCCAAATTCCCCCCCCCCTCAGCATTTACCGTGGCCTCCAAATTGCCCCCATGTATGATTGGCTTGCACTTGCCCTGCGATGGACTTGCGTCCAGGGTGTACACAGCCTTGCGCTCGTTGCTTGTCAGGTAGGCTCCGGCTTCCCGTGACACCGTATGTTATAAAGCGGTTTGGCAAATTACATGACATATATAATATTATATATTAATCCTATATTATATAATTCTTTATTATATAATTATATCATACACAGTATACGGGGATATAATGCTCTATACATCTGTGCATTTATACTTTGGTTATGGTAAATAACTATTGTTAATTTCATCTATGTATTGACTGTAGTTGTCTTTTCTCTTGTCTTTCTTTATTCTACCATTGTGTGTGGGGGGGTTACAGACCCTGGCTCACCCCTTGTATAAATATAGGCTCACCTGTCCATCACGAGGAGCCAGGGGTACAGCTTAGGGTTTTTAACCTGGCCTTCCGGTGTACTCCGGTGTACAAATGTACTCTTATTTATGTGTCATTACACAGCCTGGGTGATTGTAGGCCGGTTGTTTTTTTTAAAAACTGCAAGCAGAAAAGGGCATAATAGCAACTGCAATTTATTATTTTTGCTGAATATTTCATCTTTTTCCTTTTGTAAATATTTTTTTTTTCTTGCAACAGAGCACTTTCAGTAAATGGACACCTTTTTACTATCCTTTGTCTGGCCTATATAATTTTATTAGTTATCTGGCTTACTGCCAGGTGGTTTAGTCACAGCACATTGCATTAAACAACATTTTAAAAGGTGAACAATGTGCTACATTATCACTAGCACCTAATTTGTTATAATACCCTTAAAAGTATCCATTACATACTTATATGAATATATACTGTATGCATACTGTATATATACATATGCATTCACTTTTCTGTTTCTTCAGCTTCGTTTTCTAACATAGCTCAAACTTGTGTCTTTGCAGGTGTCATAAAATGTAAAAAAGATAAAGCATATGACAGAGAACAGCTGTGTCCTGTGTGTTCTACACCAAAAAATGTAAATAAAAAGGACATATTACAACTGGATAATGTTTTCTGCACCAGCCCAGTAATTAGTTCACCATTAAAGGACCATATTGACATGAGGAGGGATGACAGTGAGTTTGAAGGTCTTCCTATAGAACAACACCAAGAGCCCTTTGGAAATATAACACTGAATATGACAGATGAGCATGGAAACAAAGTAGATTTGAAATGTCACATTGCTGAGCCACAAGAGTCAACAAAAATTAATTGGAATCATATCAATTCTCAGCAGATTGCTATCAATATGACCCTGTCACTGGATGTTGAATGCCCAATGGATCGTGCACAATATGAAAAATTATGGAAGCTAATTGCTTATTACAGTGAAGTCCCTGTTCATCTGCAGAAAGAGATAATGCTGAGCAAAGAACCCAATTTAAGTTACAGGTATAGGCAAGATATTCAAAAAGATGCCTATTATTTCACAGGTGTGAAAGCTAGCATATTATCACAGCCATCGTGGCTAATGCAAACATTTGTCAACATACAGCTAAACAGACTGCAGTCAACTGCAAAGAATGTAAAGCTAATTTTCACCACTCAGTTTTCACAAACTCTAGACACAGAGATTATAAGAAGACAAAAAAGTAGGTGGGTCATGATTGAGTCTAAAAATGACAGCAGAACTGTGATGAGTGTTGTCAAAGGGAACTTGTGCCAACTGGATTGTAAAGTCCTGAGTTCTGGAGATCCACTGATACAGTGGATGCTACCAGACGGATCTAAAGTAGCAGCACCATTTAACAGTGGAGACAGCAGGATTGCTGTCACTAGCAGTGGAAGGTTGATTATCAAAGCAGTAGATCACTCTGATTCAGGGGTTTACCATTGTATTGCACAAGTGAAGGGTGACATTGATATGATGGCCTATCGCATTTCTGTAGAAGAAGTACCAGGCCCAATTCTAGGAAAAGAAGAGGGCTCTGTAACTAAATCAGTAGGTGAGCCCATCATCTTGCCTTGTGCTGCCTCCGCTATACCAGAAGCTGAAATCAACTGGATTCTTCCCAGCAGCAGTATATTGAATATCAGATCAAATTCCAGCCGGGCATACGTGTTGGAGAATGGAACGTTATTCATACCGCAGACCCAGTTAACAGATAATGGACACTACAAGTGTGTAGCTATAAACAAACATGGTGTTGATTCATTTGCTACCAATGTAATTCTTACAAGAATGAAAATGTCACAGCCATTTAGAAAGTTCCCATTAAGGCCACAACCTGCAGCTGGTGGTCCCACCAAAATTAAAGCCTTATTAAGAGATGATGAAGAGTCTTCTGGTGATACCAATTTTCAAGAGCTCCCTAAAAAAGAATCTAGCAGTATAAATTCACATGGTACAAGAAGAGGCCACAAAAACAACATACGTGGGCAACCGCTCATAAATTATAAAAGAAAGTTAAAAACTAAGAATAGATTAGGACAGTCAAAAGGTTCCGAGGCAGAAAAAGGTCAACTTTCATTTGAAACACGGAGAAGAGTTACCATGTCAAATAAGAAAATTGATCCACAACAGTGGGCAGACATTCTGGCAAAGGTTCGTGAAAAAACGGTTCTAAAAACCACACCATCACCCTCAGTACACAGCACTGTAACAACAAGAAAAACAGCATCTGGAAATATGCGGTTTGAATCTTCAGACAACACTGAAGGATCTTCTATCGATGACACACATCTTCAAGAGGAAGGCTTGTTTTTGATCACTACACCCAAAAGTCATGTAAAACATCCTCAAGAAACTGTGGTGACAGAGCCCACTGTTACAAAGGACCACACCAATCGCATCTACCAAATCCCTGCATCCACCACTAACACTGACTTGTTAAATGTTGTGACACCAAATACTCATATTTTAAAGACAACATCTGGTCCTGAGGAAACAAAGTATGTTATAACTGATTTTAAAGACCACAGTGAGAATGATCTAAATATTTTAAGGACAAACACATTATATAATATAGATTTACAAGAAAGTCAGAATGACTCTTTGGAAAACAAATCTGCTTACACCGCTTCAAATTTCCCATTAAGCTCTGCAAGTATGGACTATTCTGAAACAAATAATAAAACCAATCCTCCCATAAGCTCAAAACTAAGTGAAGAGGCAATTCAAAACACAGCAAATTCACCCAGTGTTGGACCAACAGTGCCGACTGTAAAAGTCAGAGATAGTACTGTAAAAGTTCATGAACAATCCAAACTTAAAACAAACTCAGTTGATGGAAGCAAACATGAAGATATTAATGAACAACAGCGTGTCAGCTTACATCATACTACATTTACCACAGTCGCTGCAATGGCCTCACCAACTATCAGTTATACAATAGCCTCCAGTACTGCTACTGTGAAAACTCACACGACTCCTACTTACCCACGGTCTAGACACCCAGTATATACACGGAGGAGGTTTGGTGGCAGAAGAAGACCCAACAAAATAAGAACCAGGCCCAACAATATTGGACCACCTCTACGTGTTCCCTCAGCAAAGACACGGCTCAGTTTATTCCCTACAACTGAAAGATCCCTTTCACCAGCTCTTGGTCTCACCACTGTAACTCCCAAACTACAAATCTATGCAGTGGCCAAGACTACAGTAACTAATGTTGACAATCAGAGACCCACCACCTCTGCTCCTTTTATAGTTCATCCAATAACAATGGACAGTCATTATCAGACAGAAATGACAATATCTAGAAACCATGAATTATATAATAAAAAACATGCAGCTACTACATCAGACACCCTAGAATCCAAATCGGTATCTACAGTGGTTTCAAAATTTTCAGCTGTTGTAGAAAAAGAAAATAAAACAACAGATGCTACTGAAATAATTCCTACTCCTACTGTTACCACTGTGATCCATCACCAGAAGTTTATAGACACTGCTCTTACAACAGTAAATATGTCTGATGTGAGCAGCAATAAAAATACTGCTAAAAATATTAGTACTACAGCCAGTCCTGGAGATTTCCCACAGACGTCTTACATAGAGCTAGATCTGGTAGTGGAAAAGGATCTCATAAAGCCCAATATCAAGCAGGAATCCACTCATTCCAGAGAAACATCCATCACCAGAAAACGTACACAAAAATTGCCAGACCAACCTTCAACTCGACCTACAAGTGACAGCCCTACAAAAACCCAAAATAAGGTCAGAAGACCACAAGAAGCCCCATCCCTAAAAATCCATAAAAAAATTAATTCTTCTGAAAAAGGAGAGGAAAAGAAGAACAAAGTAACCCTTCAAATTCCAACAAATAAACCTAATCTGAGGTACAATTCCAATGAAGGATCTATTCTGACTAGAATCATAGAACTAACAACAAGGCCTCTAGATGTATCCACCCCAGGCTTTAAACAATACCCTAAAAATAACACTTCTGTCACCAGCAGGCCAGAGGCAATGTTAACAGCAAAAACGGTTCCACCACCAAGGAGAAACGATGTCTCTTATGTCGTGACAACCACTGCTCCTCCAAGACTTAAACCGACTGCACGTGTCCCAGATGCTCATTCCAACAGGGTACAAACTGGGCCAGCAGCTGGTTCAAGAAGCTCTGCGTCAAATAACATTCCTGAAAGACAAGGACAAGATTTAAGAGTCCCCAGCATAAACCAAAGGTACCCCTATTCCTGGAATAATAGATATCCTTTTATAGTGCACAGACCAGATCCCTTAAAAACACCAGCTCGGACCAAACCACCCCTAACTACCCCTGCAACCCTTCCCAAAGAATCAAGGCCCAGCTCACTTGTTACTTCTAAACCTACTGCTTCTAAGACAGAAATGCCAATGTATGAGACAACACCAAGAAGAACAACTGTCAATACTCCTACCAGCACAACAATAATAACTACATCACTGCAGACAACTGCTGCCTGGCATAAACAAAGGCCCCTATCCACTCCTTTTGTCCAAAAATCTGAAAGTACCACTCAGAAAGTATCCACCAAGCCTCAACGGCCTCCTAAAGTACAAATCCGCCAAATGAAACCTAGAATCACCACACATAATCTTCAGACAGTATCAGTGCATGCTGAAAAGGATGCTGAATTGCCCTGTGATACTGTTGGGGAACCTAAACCATTTCTTACTTGGACTAAAGTTTCCACTGGTAAGTATAGGCATTTCCTAACACTTCTGTCTGCTTTCGCTGAAGTGTCCATACATGTTTATCTATCCCACCTCTTAGCCCCTGGTGTACATTCATGGAAGTCAACGATTGGAGCCCCTAGCGGTGAACTAAATAAACAATTCTCATAGAGATTGCTGGCTAGCCCCATAACATCACTACTATCTGTGGCCAGGCACCCTTAAGTATTATGAAAGTACTGAATAGAGCTGCAGACTTTCTCTCATTGAAATCGAGCTTTGCTCTTTCTATTTTGAAATTGTAGTGTGAAAGGAAGTGATCACTACAACAGGATGTGTCAGTGGAACTGCAGAAGCAAATTTGAGTATATTACTGCTAGAATTTGTAGTTTGTAAATTTTATATACAGGTATATATACACTGCATATATATAAGGAGTCTGTTCTGTCGTAAATTCCTGTCATTTTTCCTGTCGAAAATTCAAATACAGTACTTAAAGTCTTAAGAATAACAAATAATTAAAACCATATTTTGAAATACTTTTCACATGATTCTTGTTTCTTCTAACCACAGATGTCTATAATATTCTCCCAAATGTTATTTCGGCTTTTTTATCTTTACGCATCTTATTGTATGTGCACAGTAAGTTACAATGCATAATTAAGTTAAATTAAATAAAAGTGTTGTGTTGTGCACTTGGCAAAGACTTAATTCACTGATTTACGGAATGGTTTACAATGTCTAAATATCATTTGCTAGAAAATATGGAGTAAAATTACAGAAATTATTTGATGGTCTTTTCTGACACTGATGATAGAGGACACATTGTGTTTTGCACATTAATGTAAAGGTCTAGACCACTTTCTCCTGTTGTAGTATTATATGCAAAGGTACATTTAAAATGTGTGAATTTTTGCAGGAGCTGTGATGGCACTGAATACAAAGATACAGCGATTCGAAGTTCTGAAGAATGGGACTTTAGTCATTAAAAACGCCCAGCTTCAGGACCGTGGACAGTACCTTTGCACAGCACAAAACCAGCACGGTGTGGATAAAATGGTGGTCACACTCAATGTCCTGGCTCAGCAGCCCGGAATTCTGCAGCCCCGCCACCAGGATGTTACTGCTTATCTTGGAAGCAGTGTGGACCTGGACTGCAAGGCACATGGATTGCCAACTCCTCATATATCATGGGTACTTCCGGACAGGACAGTGCTACGTGTTGCCAGCAATACTGAGGAGCGATTAATGCTCCTAGGGAATGGAACTCTGAGGATTAAATACATCAACTTCCCAGACAGAGGAACTTACAAATGCATTGCAAGCAATGCTGCCGGAGCCGAAACTCTGTCCGTCAGGCTTCATATTGCTGCCTTGCCGCCTATGATTCAACAGCACAGGCATGAGAACATTAGTGTCTCGGAGGGTCAGACCGTGTACATTCACTGCACAGCTAAAGCCGCCCCTCAGCCTAGCATTCGCTGGATCATCTTTGATGGGACACAGGTTCGGCCCTCCCAGTTCGTAAATGGCAACCTCTTTGTTTTTCCCAATGGAACCCTTTACATACGAAACCTACTGCCCAGAGACAGTGGGCATTATGAGTGTGTGGCAAGCAACACCGTTGGGGCATCAAGGAGAACCATAAGCTTAGTGGTGAAGAAGAGCTCCTCCACTGCCAAAATCACCTTGTCTTCTCCTACCAGAACAGACGTCTCCTATGGAGGTCAGCTGCGCCTGGACTGCTCTGCCTCTGGGGACCCGGGTCCAAGAATAATATGGAGAGTCCCTTCTAAAAAGCTGGTGGATGCGCATTACAGGTACACATTTTTTTATCAGAAAAAGACACTTTTGAATTATAAAATAGTTTTTCACTGACTTTATTTTGCTTTGAAACATTTTGCTTATGAGAAAAAGTGGTCACGGTGGCTCAGGGGTTAGCATTGCTGCTTTGCGGCACTGCGACCCCGGGTTCAATTGCAATTTCAGATAGATATGGGAAGCTACCTGTGTGGAGTTTGTATGGTCTCCCCACTGCTTGTGTGGGTTTCATCCCACAGTCCAAAAACATACTATACTGGTAGGTAAACTGGCTTCTGGGAAAATTGGTCCTAGGTGTCAGTGTGTGTACGCAACTGTCTGCCTTGGGATGGACTAGCATCCCATTCAGGGTGCATCCTGTCTTGTGCCTGCTGCTTGCTGAGATAGGCTGTGGCTCCCCCTAAATTAGAAGAAGAGGTTAGAAACTGGCTGTAATATCTGGTCACAATAGAAAGAGTGGTTCTTCATTCTCCTGTTATAATGTTACCGGTTACAAATATGTACTATGTTATACCTTGCCTAAATAGTATGTCTGCTAAATTTGTGCACCTACACAGAGCACAGTTATTTTCTTTGCAGATGCATTTTTACTGAAAACTTAAAGCACACAGAAATGCTTTTCATGAAGTTACTGATAGAGATGCGATAAAAGGCTAACTGTGCCATTTCAATAAATACTGTAAATTTGCTGGAGAATATTTTGGGCAGTTTTACATGTAATGTTGGTTTGAGTCAATCAATAATAAAGAGAGCCTATCATTTGTTAAATAAATCAGAAGGCATATCTATTTTCTCATAATCTGAATCTGTCTTGATGTACAATAAGTTATAGAGAAAAGATAGCAAAGACATTTTAAAGATGATGCAGAGAATATTATATTGCATAATTAACAACATTCTGTCCATATCAATTATTTTAATATTCATTAATTCTCAAAAGTGTGTACATAATCTATTGCAAACATTGAGGCGATATTACCACAAAATGTGCACTGAAATAGCACAATTGCAAAACATAAAAAGTAAAGGATACATTCTTCAATATACTTTATATTTCTAGACATCTTTAAGAACTTCTTTGTATTCTAAATACAGAATATTCGTAGGCTATGTTTTCACAGTCAGTTCTTGCACAGACCTGTCAATGACAGATTATATTTTGTCCTAGATATATAGTTTCACCTGGAAGAAGTGTCGCTTTTTTGACAGAGCATGCAAAGCATTTTAGGTGTCAAACTTTTCCCTCCCCTCAGGCATGTACGTACTGTACAAGAACAAAAACAAATTAAACACTTAGTCTGCTTCCAGGCTTACAAAGATAACATTTTTTACAACTGGAGAGCCACATACATCTTTCAGGTCAATGCTTAGACTTTTGTGCATGGCACTAGTAAAACCTCCAGACGGGGCAATTAATTTGAATAATAAAAGCTATTAAATGCTAGAAGACATTAGTCCATCTAGTTTGTTTGGATGTTAGTAGGTGTTAGTAGGTGATTGATTTAAGGTTTTCACTCACTTCTTGAAGGAAGCCAAAGTATCGGCTTTAGGAATGTAGTTTGGTAACTTCCCCTTTTGGGTAAAGAGCTTCCTTTTATCTGTCTAAAAGGCACTTCCCTTAGTTTCTGCTTTTTTTTCTGGTTTGAAGTATTGATTCTGAACATGTCCTTTGTGTAATCTGAAGATGCCTTTGAGGAGTTTAAGTTCTTAAATCAAATCCCTGCTCTCTGTTCAAGACTTAAATTGTAAGTGTAGGACATCCCTTAAGCCCAATAATTGTTTTTTATCTTAAAGTTAATAAATTATTGGATGCTAATGGTATTTCTCCTGTTGTACTTACAGTAAGGAAATGAAGGAAGCAAATGTAAGGACAAAATTGAAGAAAAACATTGACCAATTAGTCCTACAACAGTAAAGTGTAAACCTGTGGAAACTATAGAGACAAACTAGAATAATACTTAAGAGACAGTCATCATGGATTTAGAAAGGAAAGATAAAACTAAATTATACAACATTATGCATTTCAATATAAAGAAAGGTTTTGTAGAAGACCAACATAAAAAACAGTTAATTCTCAAACTAAAAGACACAGGAATCCAAGGTAATGCATGTACATGGATCAGGAACTGTTTAACAGGAAGCAACTAGTCATAAGGGGGATAGCATCTAACTGGGCAAATATAAGAAATGGTGTGCAGCAGGCATCTGTTTTAGGTCCTTTGCTCTTCCTAAACTGTGTCAATGATTGTGATAGGCATAGCAAATTAAATTTGTAAAACGTTTGTCAAAATGTGATACAAAACTAAGAGATGGGGGCAAAAGCAGAAGCAATAAGAAGGGAATTAGAAAAAGACACAATCATGAAGTGGTCGGGGACTTGGAAAATTAAATGGAACATTGATAAGTGAAAAGTGATCCATGATCCATGCAGAAATTAAGAGTATACATTACACCACATGAGTAATTTAGAGCTGCATGTTGTTATGCATGAAAGGAATATACTGTAGGTGCTTATGTAGATTCTGCTATGTTGTCATCAATACCATATGGTAAAGCTATAAAAAGACCAACAAAAGCCTTGAATAAGCACCTTTTAGAATATTTATTTCTGGTCACCAAAGAAAGGATATTACAATCTTAGAATGAGGGGAACAACAAGCATTATTTTTGTTCCCCTTGCCCAGTATGCTTGCCCAACAAGCATTTTATGTTTGTCGTAGGAGATTGTCATATGCGGACTGGATCAAGAGGCCAAATGTCTTCAGTTTACAGCAAAGGAGATTGAGAGGAGATTTGATTCTCTGCATAAAAGTGAATTAAGTCCCATATTTAGCCCCGAGGTTAAATATGTTAAACTCCGGAGTAAAAAATATTGTGGAATCATTCTCGAAACTAGAAAAAAAAGAATTTAAGGCAGAGAACATAAAATACAAAGTATTGTAAATACTGTATCTGGAGAAGGTATCCAAGTAAGGTGGTTGACTCCCAAACTCTACATAAATTGAGATCTTACTCATGCATTGTAATTTGCAATTCACTTTTAATGCAACAATCCATGGTTAATATTCTAAATTATAATTATATATCCTAACATCTTATTTGAATCTATTAGAGCAGGAATCTTCCTGCTGTATGTTCACTGGTCTAACAATTTGTTTTTCCATGTTTTAGTTTTGATCCAAGAATAAAAGTCCACAGCAATGGTACCTTGGTTGTCCAGAAGGTCACGGAGAAGGATGAGGGAGATTACTTGTGTGTGGCAAGAAACAAGATGGGAGATGATTACGTGGTGCTTAAAGTTAGCGTGATGATGAAACCAGCAAAGATTGAACACAAGCAACAGGCAAAGCAACAACACAAGGTGATGTATGGCGGAAACTTGAAGGTGGACTGCATAGCATCAGGCCTTCCCAACCCTGAAATTAAATGGGGTCTACCTGATGGTACAACAGTCAACAGTGTCATGCAATCCGATGATAGTGGAATACGTACAAAAAGGTACGTTGTGTTCAACAATGGAACTCTCTATTTCAATGAAGTTGGGATGAAAGAGGAAGGGGATTACACATGTTATGCAGAAAACCAAATAGGAAAGGATGAAATGAAAGTGCATGTGAAGGTGGTGGCAGATTCTCCTGCCATTAGGAATAAAACTTTCTCCACTGTTCAAGTGCCATATGGAGATGCAGTTTCATTGAAGTGCGATGCAAAAGGGGAGCCAACACCTGTCATAACATGGCTCTCTCCAACAAACCGCATCATTCCATCTTCATCGGATAAGTACCAGGTGCACAATGATGGTACACTTTTCATACAGAAGGTCCAAAGGTTTGACAATGGTAACTATACCTGCACTGCCATAAACACTGTAGGGCAGGACAAGAAGGTTACAAGAGTAGAAGTCCTGGTCTCTCCACCTTCCATCAATGGGGTAAGTGGAGTGATGAACACAATCAAAGAACAAGCCATCAAAGAGAAGCGCAAATTCTTAGACTGCAAGGCTGAGGGGATCCCGGTACCTCGTGTGATGTGGGTTTTGCCAGAAAATGTTGTCCTTCCTGCTCCCTACTATGGAAGCAGCATTACGGTTCATCTCAATGGTACCCTTGACATAAGGTCCCTAAAAAAAGCAGATTCAATCCAGCTGGTCTGTATTGCACGCAATGAAGGTGGGGAGGCTAGGCTGACAGTACACCTTGATGTAACTGACAGCCTGGAGAAACCGGAGCTGAAGAGCCCCAAAACTGAGACTCTGCCACTAACTATTGGCAACACGATAAGGATAAACTGCTCTGTTGAGGGCAAACCAGCTCCAGAAACCACTTGGATCCTTCCCAATGGTTCCCGCCTTTCTAGTGGCAAACAGTTATCAAAATTCTATCACAAACCAGATGGAGCCCTTTATATTAGCAATCCTTCCCTCTCTGAAGTGGGTACTTATCGTTGCTCAGCGAGAAATCCAGCAGGACAGGTTGAAAGAATAGTTGTACTAGAAATAGGGAAAAAGCCAGACATCACTAACAAACACAGTTCCTTGGTGAGTATCATTAATGGAGAAAATCTGCAGCTTCACTGTATGTCTGAGGGGAACCCACAACCCAGGTTGTTCTGGACACTTCCCAGCGGCATGATTCTAACCAGCCCTCAAAGAACAGGTCGCTACGCAGTATGGCCAAACGGCACACTCACAGTTCAGCAAACCTCCGTGTATGACCGAGGAACATATTCTTGTAGGTCAGTCAATGAATATGGGACAGCAGCGTTGAATGTTCCAGTAATCGTTATAGCATATCCCCCCAGAATCACCAGTGGCCCTGCACCAGTGATATACGCTAGAACCGGAGTTGCAATCCAATTGAACTGTTTGGCCATTGGCATTCCCAAGGCCGAGGTAATGTGGGAAATGCCAGATAAAACACGTCTTACTGCAACTGGTCAAGCGCGGCTGTTTGGAAACAAGTATCTGCATCCTCAGGGTTCCTTAATCATTCAGAACCCTTCCACCAGAGACACTGGGTTTTACAAGTGCACTGCAAAAAATGTCATCGGTACCGATTCAAAAGCAACATTTGTACATGTGTTTTGATTTTTGAGTACATTGTTAACATATGCCCGAGAAACTGCCATGATAAGTGCAGAGAATACTGAAACTTAAAAGCTTTATCAGAAATTTAATAACTATATTCACAAGGTTCAAGATCAGTGTAAACACAAAATCAATCAGAGGAAAAGCACAAAAGGATTCAAAGCCTTGTACTGTATTGTACCATAATCTGAAAAAAAAAAACCTAAAGTAAATATGCTGAGAAAATGTATTTTTTTAAAATACTAGTATATTAGTTCAGTTGAGCCAAAAAGACTACTCCAATATTTTATACACTGCAGTTACTATTGTAGCTTCAAATGATGTTACTAACCTTATTATTACTTAATTTAGCTTATTTGTAAATCTGACAATGACAGGCAAAGTCAAAAGTCATGGTAAATGCAAATGCATTTTGTGTTTCATGTTGGAGACTCCTCAGATGGACTGGTGTCCTGTCCAGACTCCAGTCCCACTTTGCATCAAATGAATGGATGAGCTCTGGGAGTAAATTGCTTTCTGATATGGGATAAATGTTACAATCTGTAAATCTCAGTTCAACTGTATTGAAAAGAACATTTGCGATTGAAGAATTGCAACCTTCTTAAGGGACTGAATTAAGATCTTCTATTGCACAATATTCAACAATCTAGGTTATATTCTAAAATGAGTTTCAATAAGGAAAATGTAAGCCATGAAAACAGAAGTAAACATACCATTACGATCAGAGTAGTCAATTTTTAGAAGGATCTTCTCATTTCTATATTGTGAAATCTAAATTTGTAACTATAAATCTACAGAAAATTAACACTGCAAGTAAGTAAAAGTTTAGAGATTTTATTCATTAGTATAAGAGTTGCGGGTTGACTTCTTCAATTTCACATTTTTTCAGGCAAGCATTATGAATATGAAGGTTTGAAACAAAGAACAAAGCTTCAAAAATTCTTTCCTATTTAGAATGATTAACCTGTAGCATATTAAAAAATCTTGTGTTTGTTTTCTCCTCTTATTAAGTTATTTGTCTTTAAAAGACTTTGGTGTATAGCTATGTTTATGAGGTTAAAAACAAGGTAAGTCGATCTTGTAATAAAGAGACAGCTCTGGGGTTTCTGAGCTTCTACAATACTGTATATTGAACAGCTAATATTTTTTAAATAAAGACAAAAACTATTTTAAAGTTGTTGCTGACTCTGTTTTTACTGTTGTTTCTTTTGCTATCCGTACACTTTATGCCCTTTACTTGTGCTATAAAAAGGAGTACTGGAACTTTACTTTAAAAGCAGATTGACAGTTATTCATACTGGAATGATTCCTGAGCTATTATGGAAAATTAATTAGATATTAGAAATAAGGGTGTTGGAGCTGTCACTTGATATAGAAATGGCCAAAGTAAGTTTAAGGAAATAAAACAGATTATGTGATTGAAAAAGAAAATCATTAAATTTAAATTTGATTTCAGAAACTCCCAAAACAAACACTCTCATCATGGCAAAATAACTTTTCAGACATAGTAAAAAAAATGGCACATGAGCTAGATCTTAACCACTGTTTGACACAGCAAAAAGTACTTTTGTAAAGACCAGACAAATCTGGACTTCACTGAAGAGCATCACACCCATTTTCACAAGGTATCTTTGAGGCTGTTGTGAAACCTTCATGTTGGTCTACATGTTTACATGACAAAATAATGCAGCTGACAAGCATTTAAAGCCATATGCAGTCCCACTGGGACTGGACTGTCTGAACAGCATCTGCTCAACAGTTTTGCAGGACTGTTTCTGATCCTTTAGCGTTTTCACAGTGAGCAGTGCAGTTCATGCTTGGCCTGAAAGCCAAGTGGCATGGTTTGGTTTCCTCTCTGAGAAAATGGATGTACTTGATTTACTGTATAATGCATGAAACATCTCAAGGTCCTGGTTAGGGCATCTCAATTTAGAGAAACAACAAAAAGTATTTCAAGACACAAAGAAAATTTTAAACACAGCAAGAAATCAAGCCTGTGAAAGAAGCAAATATAGAATGAACGAGGCATAGAGATTAAGAGAAAATGAAAAGAAGGCATTCTAAAATTATACAGAAAGTCAATAACTCATGGAAAACCAGTGCTGATGAAGTTTTACATAACAGTGGAAAATAGCGAGCTAATAGTGAGCTATTCATAATTTTTGTATTTTGAAGGGATTTGCAACAGACTATAAGAAACAATATACGTACTTCTTGGTCAAATCAAGTCCTCTACCGAAATGCTAGAGGATTTTTTTCTTTTATGTGAAGCAAGCCTGCTATTAAATTATTGATCTTGAAAAAGATCCATCTTAGCCAAAAAGTAACAAAAGTAAACAAATCAATAAAATAAGCAATCCAAGTGTCGCGGATGTCGGAAGGGACGAGCCGTGAAATGACAGGAGAGCGAAAGACCCTATGCGTAGCGACGAGACGGGGGTTAGCCCGGGCTCAGCTGTTCAGGGAATGCTGTATAGAAACCTATGCCCTCAGGTAGCGGACGTGGGGCGACCTGGTGCTAGGCGGGTTTCAGGACATCCGAACGTCAATGTTGAGCGAAGGCAGACTGAAATATATAGCCCCAGAGAGAGAGAAACACCGGAAGCACAGCAAAGAACCGGAAATGAGAGACAGGACAGAGAAGGAGCGCCCTCTGGCTACAGAGGGCGTGACAGTACCCCTCCCCCCCCCCTTAATGGGCGGCTCCTGACGCCCATACAAATAAATGAACTGCACAGCACCGGGGGGAGGAAAAACCTCATTTAACTGAAAGGAAACCTCAGGGAGTCCACAGCTGAGAGCTACCCCCTCCTCCAGGGTATAAGCCTTTATTGGGTAGAGGAAGGGGGGTCGAGTAGAGCTCGGGAGACTTAAAACAAAAAAGTACACAAGCACAAACACAACAGACATAAACCTGGGAGACCAGGGAGACAAACCACAAAAAACAGATAGGAACCAAAAAACAGGGAGGAACCCAAAGTTCCGAGACACAGGGAGCAGGGGGGACCAAGAGGAGGGGAAACCAGGAAGAGAAAAATCAAAACAGGCAAAAACAAGATTAAACAACAAAAAACCTGGGGGAAAATACCACAGACTGGGCAATAGGCAAGTTTACATTCTAACGCTGATATCGGAGTGGACAACCCAAGGAAAGCCAGGCTGTAGTCCGCTCACAGACACGGATGCCCAGAGAGATATCCAGCTAAAAGAATGGAGGAACGGCAGAAAGCTCACCAAACTAACGCTGATATCAGAGTGGACAACCCGAGGAAAGCCAGGCACAGGACCCGTTCACAGACATGGATGACTGGTTGATATCTAGCAATTATGATGGGAAAGCCAGCTCAACCTCATCACCTACTACAGCGGCGGTCGAACATCTCAGATTGACTACTGGATGATGAGACGACGAGACTTCAAAATGGTCACTGACACCAAAGTAATCCCGTACAACAGCATCGCCCCACAACATCGGCTATTGGTGTTGGATGCCAAAGTCCGCCTAGTCCAAACC